TATATCGAACCGTGCCCAGGGTACCCTCCGATAGTACACTGGGGGACATAGACCCTATCAGCCATGCTTATCGTATGAATTCGCATGTTTAAAAGATTTTACATGTAGAATTATGATGAGCATATCTATAGAATGAGCATGACAGATCGACCGCTATATGCCACCTGCTGCGGCAACGATGCCATCAAACTGCATGCAGTGCTCCTTCTCTCACTCAGACTCAGGATACCACTGCCACAATGCTAGCACTATTTTTAAAGTGGGCGGAGCTCGGGGGACATCCAGCGAATGGAGATTCGTAAACAGCATAGGATTTGAAAGAGGTAAATGGGGCGCACAATACGCGCACTATTTCGTATCACTATTTTATCAAATTTTTCAGGAATAACGGTCGGATTTTTAATATCTTTGAAACTTTTATTCCAAATCTTATTACATATAGGATACGAGTAACGTGCCTGCTGTAAAACTTGTAGTAAAAAAGCGTTACAAATTGTAACCGAAATCTACTTGTGGCAGGGTAGATTGAGCCCATGAGCGAGAGCGCCATCTGTCGTGGAGTTTGCGATGCCATTTCAGAATTTGCGAAAAGAGATGAGTAGCATGGGATGGCTCGAGTAATGTGGTTTCCGATATCTCGTTTGTACAGATATGTTCGTGGCATTACTATTCGCTAGCTATTAAAAATTATAAATAATCTTGAAAATACTAGATAATACATTCGCGTACCTCGAGCGCCGTTGAGATTCTGGAAGATTTCTGACTTGTGGTCCAGCTTAATCTTAAACTTGTCCTAGAATCAAAGCAACGAATTAAACAAGCATTGTCAAACAACCTATTATTACTCTAATTACCTTCATTTATATCAATCATTATTTTATATTTAGTATTTATATTACTTTCATCAATCGAAGACACATGCATATGCAGTATGCAGAAAGTAATATAAATACTAAATATAAAATAATGATATATATGACAGACAGATCGAGGTGGCACCAATTCAGCTCCAGCGCGAAGTACAGACAAAGCCAAAGTGACCTTCGATCAGCTCCCAGAGCATACAACAAACTCGCGCGGGCGTCTCGTTAGACGCCTCGAGACATCGGGGGTATCTCGTTAAATGTCTCAAGACGTCGTAGGCATCTCGTTCAATGCGTCAAGATGTCGGGGGCATCAAGTTGCATGTCTCAAAACGTCGTAGGCATCTCGTTCAATGCGTCAAGATGTCTGGGGCATCTAGTTGAATGTCTCAATACGTCGTAGGCATCTCGTTCAATGTCTGAAGACGTCGTAGGCATCTCGTTCAATGTCTCAATACGTCGTAGGCATCTCGTTGAATGTCTCAATACGTCGTAGGCATCTCGTTCAATGCGTCAAGATGTCGGGGGCATCTCGTTGAATGTCTCAAGACGTCGTAGGCATCTCGTTCAATGCGTCAAGATGTCGAGGGCATCTCGTTGAATGTCTCAAAACGTCAGGGGCATCTCGTTGAATGTCTCAAGATGTTAGAGGCATCTCGATGATGTCTCAAGATGTCAGAGGTGTCTCTACACGTAACCGCGCTGAACGACGCGCTATCTGTCGTCTGCTAGGCATCATCGGCTACGGTGCTGACATCTACGCCGTGCTCACTCACAAGGTCGTTGCCGACGGCGACGACGACCAGCTCTACTACACCAACATCTACCTGGACGCGGAGCTCAGGGTGAGTCACCGTCTCGAGGGGTCCAATCGGTGGCGCCGCCACGGCACGTGCGTCACACGCGCGTTTACGATATCACGCGTGCAAGGTTATATACCTACTCATGTTTACAGTTTACTGACTGTTACCAGTTACATAACAAGACACCGATACTCGTGCACACACACACACACACACAGGCACGCACGCACGCGCACACACGCACGCACGCGTAGACACAAATCTTATTAATCAATCTATTGTTATATTATATATTTGATTCTAATCTCTCTTTATTCGCATCCAATTCAAGCTAGAAAACTCTATTTGAATTAATCGAAAACTGAACACGCTTAAGACACTGATTGATATGACGAACACAAGATGATTATCTGCTTGCATGTAGTTGACTATATTTGAATTTACCTCCGGAGCATAGGTAGTGCTTGCCAGACTGCACCTCTGGATACTTTTTCTATAAAAAAACAATTGTAGGGGGGAATAAGAATAAGAAAGTGTCTCAAAAAGACGTTCAAACTGCTATCATAAACTACTCGTTGTTCAACAAATTAAAATGATCTTTAACCACCTTTAGTTTTTACGTTGCATCGTGAAACATGCATAACATCACATTCTTCGTCTGAAAGACAAGATTACTAGATGCTGATCCCACTATTAACTAGCAGTGACCCAGAATATGGAGACCACTGCGAACTAGTGCTCATAGGGTCTATGTCCCCCAGGGTACTGTCTAGACTCGTCAGTGGAGTAGGCGAGGTACGGTCCGGCATATTAGATAGTACCAGGGTACGTTCCGGCAGAACCCTGGGGGACATAGACCCTCTCAGCCTAACTATGAGTGACAGAGAACATGCAGGAGGCACAGACCACTGCCCTTTCTCCTCGGAAAGCTCCGACACGCGCACGTGCATATCCCGTCATGCACGCAGACCTGACGCCGTGGCCGGATCATTAGATCGCGATGAGCAGGATTCATTAACAGGTAAGATCACCAGCTGCCACCTCAAACATGGATCCATATCCATTCATCCACCCCCATATTGACTGCCCGATGTGTGTGTATGTGTATGTATATATATATATATATATATATAGAAGAAGAGAGAGAGAGAGAGAGAGAGAGAGAGAGGTAGGAGAGAGGAGGAGGAGAGAGAGAGAGAGAGAGAGAGAGGA